TCCATTGGAAACCATTAGACAGACCATCCAATGGTTTCCAATGGAGAAAATTCAAAAAATCATCATAAATTAACGAAGTGTCAAAACAACCCCAAAATCAGTTTGCATAGGTTTCAGGAGGTGGGCTAACCAGTGCAAGCATTTAAAACGGCTTCCAAACATTGTAAGACACTTTTACAGGAGCGAAAAAGGACTTCGCAAAGCCATTGAAATGTATTGAGTCGGCTTCAATACATTCCAATGGAGGAAACATTGTTTCACACAGCGATGTTTCCTATGGGGATTTTCACTCAGCGATGGCAATCCGTTCCAATTGGAACGGATTAACCGGTTTTCAATGCATTCCTATGGGAAATGGTGTTTCACAGAACGATGTTTCACACAACGTTGATTTTTTTGGAACCAATTAACATCGTTGTGTGAGGCACCACTGTATCTCCCTATCTCTTAATCCAGCCTGTTTCTTTTACTGTAGCTGTGGGCTAATGCCAGAATTAATTTTGACTTTGATAGCAGTGTCTATTTAACCATTTCGGTTCTGTTAACTGACGGGCTCATTGGAACTCTCTCTGGATGCTTTTTACAATATGGCTTGAACAGGTCTATGCCATAAATCCAGGGTCCTTTCCTACCTACATCCACACTGAGTCTGGCTGCCAAAGTAGCAAATTCCAGGGCATTCTCGTAATTCTGAAGTCCAATCTGTAGCTCAGCCAGCTTGTTGAACACTCTCAGTTCAGTCTGCATGGCCTTCAGCTTCCGAGCCAAAGGTACAGCTCCTCCCTGTCAAAATATCAAACAATGTTACTTCATATGACTTCACAAGCTGCCGCCATGCCGCTCTGCTGTTCCAGCGCTCTAACAACTCTTCAGACAGGACAACCAAGACGAAAGAGATACTGCATTCCATCCACACCATTACAGAGAGACACCTCCATTCCCCAGAACATTCTTGTTTTCTCTCTCTAGTGAATTTTTTTTTTGCCTAATACAATTCCTTTAGAAGCCAGAATGAACCCAGTAATCCTGGTTACTGAGTAACTGCATGCACACAACTTTGCTCGCTAATTTTGCCTTTTTGCCATGACCTTGCAAAAGAGTAAGAAATGGTTTTGTAGGGACAGGAGTTGTGGTGCTCACACACCTTCTCTACCTGTGTGTGCTGCCTCTGAAATGACAACCACTCTCAAATCCCTGCACTAATGCTGGGGCTGCTGTTTAAACGTGCAAACAAGGACTCCTCTTGAATTATCCCTATAACTAACCCAGGCAAGCAGCAAGTGTTCCCTTCCAAACTGTACTTATTAAACAACACGGGCATTGCTACGGACTGACTACTCACTGCCCTTTTTTTAACAAAGCAAGAATACTTCTGGTGAAACATAAAAACATGACTACTCGCTGCCCTTTTTTTAACAAAGCAAGAATACTTCTGGTGAAACATAAAAACATCTTTGCTTTGTGATACGATGCAAACCATGTGTTCTAACACTGACTAGCAGTATACATGAGTAGAATGTCATGTGGCTGTTATCTCTAAAAAGAATCCAGAAGTTTACTAAAAACACAAAGGAATAAGATGATTCAGTTTACAGGTGAAAGTAAAATAAAAAACTATACAGTAATCTCAGTTTCTTCAGTATATAATCATAAGTCTTTACTTTTCTTTATAATTTTAAATGTTTCCTGTTCACTATACAGTGCACGTGTGTGTGTGTGTGTGTGTGTGTGTGTGTGTGTGTGTGTGTGTGTGAATAGATAGATAGATAGATAGATAGATAGATAGATAGATAGATAGATAGATAGATAGACAGACAGACAGACAGACAGACAGACAGATAGATACTTTGATTCAAGTTCTATTTTAAACCACAGTATTATTCACTGCTTCTTCTTAAAAACAGACAACACCCAGCTCTAACTAACAGCTTTATCTGACATCAGTATTTGACCTACAGCTCTTAAATTAACACATGGCTTTTACTATTCTCTTCCTTTCTTTCTTTCTTATATACAAAAGACAACCTCCCTAGCCAGGAACCACACATACCAAACAGCTTGCCAATTATACACACGTAACCACTCTTTTACACTTCTTAACTATCTTCTTAACTGCCACTCTTGACATACATTTCTCCCACACATATGACTGACAATCAACACCGGACATGTACAATGGAAGCCAAGCTGTGGGGGGAGGGGGGAGAGAGAAAGAAAGAAAGAGTGCAAAATTGCCACAGTAGTCAGTTTGTGTATCTGGAGCTTTTCCCCATTTGTCTTTTGCCTAGAAAACACAAGGGCCTGCCTTCAAACTTCATGTCAATTCAATTTAAATAAACTTTCTGGTACTGTACATTAAATGCAGTGTGCACTTATTAAAATGAGGTTAAAGAAAAATACTTTGGGTAAATATTAAAGCAATTAACGGTGTAGTTTCATTAATCATTTTTTTCACACATCACAGCAAGTTTTCAAAACTGCTGCTACCAAAATTTATCCCGGAGGGGGTGGGCTCCACAATTCTTGTCTAACTATGGGCAACACTACAATGGGGCAGGAGAATAATTCCCAAGGTGAAACCCAATCTTCTGCTTCAGAACTCTCACCTACTTAGAATATCTAGGTAGCACGATAATTTATTTTATTTTATTTATTTGTCATTGTAAGTATATACACAGTATACCCATACAATGAAATTCACAGACACCCAGAGACCAGAAGACCTAGCTTCATAATACAAGATCGTTGGACCACTTCAGGTCTTACAAAGAAAGCCTGAGCCCAACAGGACACCCTCAGATGGTACACAATCTTCTTATAACCTTGAGCTAGGCTGAAAATTCCATCCCCCCCTTTTATTTTTTGCAGGTCCACTTGTCCCTTGAGAAAGGAGAGGGGTTATTTGGCAAATGGGAACAATTTATTTTCTGGTTTTGCCTTTAAATTCAAGGCAGGTGAGGGAGTCTCTTTTTGTTCTGTTTGTTTTAAATCTGCATCTCTACTCCAAAACACCTTGCCATGGAGTCAAGTGAAATAGCCAAACACTCTTGAAAACAGCGCTAGCTAGATGTTTTAAAAAATCAAAAGGGGAACGGATTGAAACCTGATCTAACTCTTATCTGAAGAGGAACAATTTATGTGCGAAAATCTTGCTCGATGGATAGGTTTGTGCCGTGCTAATCTTTCAAGGACTTCCAGGACTCCCTGGAAAAGACCTTAATGTTGGGAAAGTGTGAAGGCAAGAGGGGAAGGGGACGACAGAGGATGAAATGGTCGGACAGTGTCATCGAAGGTACCAACATGAATTGATTGAAACCTGATCTAACTCTTATCTGAAGAGGAACAATTTATGTGCGAAAATCTTGCTCGATGGATAGTTTTGTGCCGTGCTAATCTTTCAAAAACAGGAGATAGGAAGTTGCTGAAATGCCCAGCTCAATTTCTTAGTCCACTTCCTTGAACATTCATTTCTGTTAACAAACGTTAGATACATTTTGGGGAGGGGCTTTGAATGTCACTGATTGGAGGTGGCATCACTCTTTTACAAGCACCTCCACTGTCATTCCATGATTGTGATATGATCCCCCCCAAGCTGCACATTACCCAGATTTTGATGGCTTGTACTATCAGATGGACTGGCGTGTTTGTGTAGGTGGCATCACTGGAATAAGTTTATGAATTTTGCCCGCAGCCACTTGCCAGACACTTAGATGTTTCTGAATTCTTCTCTCTCTAACTCTGCAGAAACTCTTTCAAGCAACCTCAAAAATGTTTACGTCTACATAAGGATAGGCCATGATGTTAAGGTTTGCGAGAAGAGAGTGGTACCCGGTAATATTCCACGGCCTGTTGTCTGTTCCGGAGGCCATTGAAAAAGACATCACCAACTTCTTCATATAGTTCCATGGCTAAGTGAAGATCTTGAGGCTTCAGGGCCGTCTGTATGGCTGCCTAGGAAGGGGATACAATCAGGATAAGAGCTTAAGCAGTAAGATCGTGCAAAGATAGTGAAAGGTCTGACTAAATGACAGACCTAGTAGTCCAACATTGGATATGTATGCCATTTTGTTGCCTTACTCACCAACAACCTCATAATCTAATTAATCTAATTGGGCATGTTAAGACCTTACACCCACCTTTGCACTAAGAAATATGGATGGATGCTATTGGATTTCAAATCACATGCGTCTTATGGTGCGAAAAATACGGTAATCTAATTGGGCTTGTTAAGATCTTACACCTACCTTTGCACTAAGAAATCTGGATGGATGCTATTGGATTTCAAATCACAGGCCTGGGCTGCTATTTTGTAGTGAGAAAACATCTTAGAACAGTTATTGATAGTTCTTGGGACTGTGTAGAAAATAGTATCACATGTGCTGAAGGTTTTAAAAGAAGACACTGCAAAGATTCGATGATTTTCTCCCTCTACAATGCCCTTGCACACAAACACTGGACCAAAAAAGCTGCAGTTCAGATGTGTTGATGAATGAGGTGCATATACATATAATACCAGAATATAAAATAACCACAGCATTTAATTAATGAGGATGTTAAATTTTGGAACTTGAGAGTTTGAATTTAAAAAAAAAACCTAGGACTTTCTTTTAATATTCCAATGCCGTTGTCCATTTTTCTAAGAAAGTGCAGCTCTGAGCATGAAGGCCTAAGAATTATGCCTCTCTTCCAGCTCAGCATCTAACCGCTGGAGGGAAATTTACTGTCACTACTGGTGGTACAGGTACAGCTACTATTAAGACACTAACTCCAACTCAGTGCCCACTGTGTGCCAGGCAATGTACAAGAAAATAATTGACCACCCCTTTCTCCAAACATGCTATAATAGGTACTCCCTCAAGCTGTTCACAGTATGCTGTTAATCTGCAGCTGAAACCTCCTGTTTTCAGTATTATTTCACCAAATGGTTAGACAGCAGACACAGCAGGTCCACTTGATTTTACTCTACCTGCAAATACATTTCCACAAGTTCATCCTCTTGCATTTGATAGTACAGCTTCCCAGCTTGTAGCCAAGCCTCTGCTGTTTTGATGGTTTCCTCCAAGTCAATGAAGATCCTCAGACTCTGCTTGGTACAATCAAGTGCCTGCTTCAAAGATCTGTGGGATTCACAGGTACCCCATTATTTAAAAAAAAAGTCTGAGAAGTCATGCATGAAATCAAATAGAAGCAACCTAATTTTGCAAGCTTTCCTAGCATCCGTAGCCACTATTCAGGCATCATATAACTCTGGAACCCTGGAAAACTGGGTTCTTGCTCAAATACAGAGCCCACAAGTGAGCAGAACCCTTTTCCTCTTCTGATTTGATGCTGAAACCATGAAGAGCATGGTAATGGTGGGAGGTGGGACTAGATGGTCCTCTAGACATGTGTTCACAGGACTAAGCTGTTTGACACCTGAACAGGAGTATTGTCTGCTGAGTCCCAGGTGCTCACCTTATAGCACTAGTAATGAAAAAAACATTATGCAGCAATTCTATCTTTTCCTTCCTAACTGATTTATCATCAAGAATTTATATGGAAGCAGCAGTAGGGAAATATGGGTTATAAAAGGAACACATTACACTGAATCTCCTTTCCTTGAAATAAATTCCACGAAAGAACCAGCATGTTTGCACAATAGAAACCTTGTTCTGAAGCGCTCCTACTAATGAAAAAGACATTATGCAGCAATTCTATCTTTTCCTTCCTAACTGATTTATCATCAAGAATTTATATGGAAGCAGCAGTAGGGAAATATGGGTTATAAAAGGAACACATTACACTGAATCTCCTTTCCTTGAAATAAATTCCACGAAAGAACCAGCATGTTTGCACAATAGAAACCTTGTTCTGAAGCGCTCCTACAGCTGTATGCTCAAAGGAGCAGCATTCACAAAGCAGATGGAGCAGCCCAGTCATGTTGCCAGTACAGTGAATCTCCTTTCGTTGAAATAAATTCCACGAAAGAACCAGCATGTTTGCACAATAGAAACCTTGTTCTGAAGCGCTCCTACAGCTGTATGCTCAAAGGAGCAGCATTCACAAAGCAGATGGAGCAGCCCAGTCATGTTGCCATGAACAATGGTGCTGTTTATGCCACTGCATTTGGTGCAAAGAAAACAGGGGATGCTTAGATTTCATGCTCAAGGAATGCCATGCTGTAGTACATATGCCTCTGACACATATTCCAATACACGCACAGTGTGTGGGTTCAGTCCATGCAGTGTAACAGTGAGCCTCAGTTTGCTGAGAGCAAAAATATGTGACACATGGAATGCTGACAGTATAGTATGTCACTCCGATGGGACGTTATTTCACTGGGGTAGAGACTGAACACATAAGATGTATACACGCAGGTCCAAGAAAAGGCACTTGAGCATGGGGAAAAATACAGGCTTAAGTTTTAATTCTGATCCTTTTCCCCCCAGTTTTGCTTTAGTTTTCCATTGTTGTTCCATGGAATAACGACAACCTTGGTTACATTTGCTCCAGAGGCTTTCTGATCTCATCTGTACCATAATATACTGTCATATTTTAAAGTGGCTGAAGCCTATTCATTGATTTTACTGAAAGAGACTAACATAGCTACTCCTCTGGAAATGCTTCATCTGAGCATTTGCTTAAGAGGCTCTCCTTATTGCAAAGCTTGTATTTGAGAGGATGAGTGAGGGGGGAAAGTTTAAAACGCCCCACCAGGATCTAGGGTGCAAAACACAACTTTATCAATAAAGGGCACAATGGCCAGTTTCCCTACTGCAACTCTGTGGCATCAGCATGGGATCACAATTACTGGTCCCTTCCCATCCTTCAAGCAAGGTACTGTTGTCAGAGGGGCAAACTGGCCTCACTCCCTTCTCACTCAAACAGACATCACCTGAGAATTGGAGCACCTGAACACATCAGTTTCCAATGGAATCCAGCCTGGGCCACAGCATGTGGGTACACATTCCCCTTCTTTTCCCGTGGGGTATAACAAGGATACACCAGCACAGTGTGGGCACTGACCAGCATGTTAATCTGTCTCTCCTTTGGGAGGACAACAGAGTGTGAACAGAGAAACAGCAGGCAAAGGGAGGTGAAAAACTGGCAGTCAGTCAGACAGCCTACTGGTTTGAGGGCTCTTACCTCTGACTATGCTGGAGCAATCTGGTGCCCAAAGAGATACGAGTTAAATAAGCTGGGCATAGGAATGTTGGCAGATCCCCAAATATAACTGGAAAATAAGTAGAGAAGTTTGCCAGAACTTGGCAAAGTGGGAGGGATTTGGAACCCTCTCTCAGCTACTGCAAGGCATCCGTTTGAAACTTAGCGAACACCCACAGTATGCAGGAGAGGGCTGGCAAACCTCTTTTTATTCTCACAGGCACCTGGCAATTAAGTTGAGTTACTGGCCAAAAGACTTTCCAATTAGGTGGATAGTGTTCTTCTGCAGATGACTTTGAAATGATTTTTTAATTTGTTTCATGTCTTAATTGCATTTCTTCTAGTTTTGTCACTGGAAGCGGCCTTGGAAAGAAAATGGAATATAAATCCAACCAACCAACCCAAAGCATTGTCTCCATGCTCTACAGTAGGGGTCCCCAACCTTTTTCACCCCACGGACTGGCTGGAGAAGACGGGGCACTCCCCGCGCTCGTGCATATATGAGCGTGTGCGCTCTTGCATGCACAAATGCACTGGTGCACATGCACAAACAGCACTGCAGCGCTCTCACGGGCACGCTGGAACGAGCACGCATGTGTGAATCAGCTGTGCGGGGTGAGGGGTGGGGGTGGGAGGTCTGCATTTGCAGCCCAGTCTGACTCAGGCCACAGACTGGGGGTTGGGGACCTCTGCTCTACAGTATGCAGGATCCAGCCCTGGCTTCTTAAATTCGCTGTACAGTACATAAAAAACAATACCCGTGTTCCCTTATCCCATGGCAAAAGAGCAAAAACCATGTGTGCTTCCACGGGAGATTTTCTGATATGCATTGGGAATTATTCATTATGGTAATTTCATGGGACATCCCTTTTTTCTCTAAACAAGGATAAGCCATGTAGTCGGGGGGGGGAACCCCACAGATCTGGTGTCGAAATATTCAAAGGTACAGATGTCCATGAGAGTGCTTTGCTCCCATAGAAGTGTGTGGGGAAGCCTGCATGTATGCCATGATGTATACTCCCTCATTCATTCCCCTGGACACACAATTTTTATGACTATGCACACAAGAGTTCTGTATGCCTAGATGCACACTTTTAAAAATAGTTACTTACACTGGCATTCCAGTTTCAAAATGCCTCAGATCCACTATTTTGAAACATGCCACACATCCCATGGTAGCAGGATCAGAGGAGGCTCCTAATTTTCTAAAGCCAAAATCCCATTGCAAAACCTTATCCAGTGCAACTGCATAAGATATGGTAGCACACTGGCACTATATATCTAGTTGCCACTCACATTCCTAATTGCACACTAAGTCATGTACAGTGGACCCTCGACTTACAGACGGCTCGACTTACAGACTTTTCGAGTTACAGACTTCTCTGGCTGCAAAATTTAGATTCGACTTGCAGCCGGAGAATCGACCTACAGACAGAAAAAAACCAAAATGGAACAAAAATAGAATAAAAACTGCCAGTTGTGGGATTAATCAGTTTTCAATACATTGTAGGTCAATGGAGATTCGACCTACAGACTTTTCGATTTACAGCCACCGTTCCAATACGGATTAATTCCTTAAGTAGAGGGTCCACTGTAAGTGATAGGAAACTAAGAATGCAAGTGGCAACTCATTAATTAATGACAATTCATTAAGGGAAACTATAAAAGTGTCATTGTCATTTAGTCCTGTCCGACTCTTCGTGACCCCATGGACCACACCACGCCAGGCCTTCCTATATTCCACTGCTTCCCGTAGTTGTGTCAGATTCATTCATAAAAGTGTACTTAAAGGTAAAAGGTAAAGGTTCCCCTTGACAACTTTTATCCAGTCGTGTTCGACTCTAGGGGGCGGTGCTCATCCCTGTTTCCAAGCCATAGAGCCAGCGTTTTGTCCAAAGACAATCTTCTGTGGTCACATGGCCAGTGCGACTTAGACACGGAACGCTGTTACCTTCCCACCGAGGTGGTCCCTATTTATCTACTCACATTTGCATGCTTTCGGACTGCTAGGTTGGTGGGAGCTGGGACAAAGCGACGGGAGCTCACTCCGTCGCGTGGATTCAATCCTACAGCTGAAGATCTACAGACCTTATAGCACAGAGGCTTCTGCGGTTTAGCCCGCAGCGCCACCACTTAAGTTGGTATAAATCCACAATATGAGTCTCACAATCAACGTGCTGAGGTATGTTTCAAGGAATTAGCTTGCCATCCTGGCGAGAAGAGGAGACAATGCTCCAATACATAACAGCAATATGACCCTGCAAGTTGGGACATAGCATTGCACAAACTTCAAAATGACAAACTTCGATATTTTGAAAATCTGGAAATCCTATGTTAAAAGAATGTGCAAGTACTGTACACAGAATACTTGCATGGGTGTTCAAAGCAACCAGTTTGTTCTGAGGTGAGACCAGGGCATAGACAAGAGCAACGAGAGACTGAGGCAAATATGTACATAAAAGTCAAAATGCATCCCACCACAATCCACCCATGAGTGCAGATGAGACAAGGTGGGTTTCCTTGCAATAAAGTGTGCGACAAGAACAAATTGTACGAAGGATACATTGAAGCTCCACAAGCAATGAAAAACAGAAAGGCAATTACATAATCTGGAAGAAGAAAAACAGGTCTGGAAAGCAGTCTGTGTCTCCAGCAGCAAAGAGACCAATGCTATCAATAATTTCCTCAGCATGATAAGGCAAATAGCCACATGACCTCTGTATCATGGGGGATTTCAAATGCACAAACGTACTTAATCTTGCATCCTTCTTTAGAGCTAATTGTTTTCACTACCGGGGCAGGGTTAGAACACAACCTCTAACTAGAAAGTATATGTATGGCCACTGCTGAATGTTACCATTGCTATTTGATTTGATCAGTGCTGAATGCTGTACAATATATGTATAAAGGAAACAAATACCCTTCATAGGAGGCTTATCAGAGGCAGGTGAAGAAAGAGGCGGGATATGAAACAAGGTGGCAGGAAGGTGAGGATTAAGTGGCAGGGGAAAACATAGGGAAAATTATGTTGTGAGTTTCAGGACACAGCCCCTGTCGTCTGCATTCCTATTACTCTGGTGTAACTGTATTCTAGTGCTCACCCGACAAGCATCTGCATCTGACCCTCCTTCCCTCTGAATTCACTTTGAAATTGCATAGGAAAGGTTAGCATCTACTTTCTTGAACAAACATAGCTAGTGTTTTGAGCAGAGCAATATATCTTTGCATGTACCAATGGACAGCTGCCTTTGAAAAAAGGCAAAGAGATGGAGATATAGTTGCATTTTGGACCTTTTTTTTAAAATGGAGCTGGGATAGAGCGATTCCTGTTGGCACAGAAGGGTCGCCTTAAGCCAAGTGCTCTTTTACAGTGCAATTTGATGCGAACCTTTATCACTGTCTGAATTATATAAATTCTTGAAAGCTTTTCTCAGCCTAATCTGCCACTGACCTCAATTTGTCAAGATTGGTCTATTCCACTATAGTGTGCCACGGGGCTCTTACTTATGCTTGCACTTGTTACAACATTGTCTCCCTTGAATATCAGTTTCCAGGGCGTTTTTTAAAAACTGCAAATAAAAATAAGGCACAACAATGAACAACAAAAATGACTTTATTAAAAAAAAAGAAAAAGAAACAGGCAGAAACTGAAAACATGCCGAAATCAACCCAGAATATTGTAAAACTTAGCGGGAAGAGAATGATATTTGTTCTTTTCTTCTCCTGCCGAAAAGGTAACAACATGAGCAGCTTCCTGAAGATAAGGATACAGAACCAGAAAACTCCACCTCCTAAAGATGATGGAGCATCCAGAGGAGAATCCTGGAAGATGATATTACACATAGCTGAAGTGGAAGAAGGTGTCCTTCAAGAATCAAGGGTGTTAAAGCCCCTGTAGGTAAGTAAAAACACCTTCGACTGAGCTCAGAAACTGATCAGAAGGCTGCCTGCTCTCAGTATTGGATGTAATGTTTTCACATCCCTTCTCCTTCTCATGAGTACTTCAAGACAACATTGCTTTGGGTTCATTCTCCTCAAAGATGGGCATGTTCCATTACAATCAGCCGTAGGGTGCCACAAATGATTCTGGCAAAGACAGGTGGGCTCACATGCTCATCCAGAGCAGGGCAACCATTGTCCACCATCCTACTGCACCTCTTCAGGAAAGCTTTCCCTCAGTGACTGGCTCCTGAGTGGGGTTGTTAAATGAGTTGTTGTGCCAACTGCTACGAATGTGAGTTTCATGTTGTTTTTGTTTACCGTGTTGCAATGTGGTAGTTGACCATTTCTCGTATTTGCAATGTAGTGTCCTTAGCTTCAAATATTGTCTTTTAATGATACAAGCCTTTTTATGGAGAAAGTGGGTAAAAATATTTTTTTTAAATAAAACTAAAATAAATATCCTGCTACTCGGTTTACTTCCTGGTTAGTCTGGCAATTGGCCTTTAAAGATAGTGTATTCCAGTTGCTGTTTTAATTCAGAGGTGCCTCAGTTAATCTCAAACAACAGCACTCACAGGATAGGCAGGCACCTACTCCTTACATTCCTTCCCTCTGAGCTCAACCTGACCCTGCCTGGGAAGGTAAGCATCCAGATAACTGAGCAACCAAATCCAGTGCTGTGGGCAGGACAATGGTACCTTGCAAATGCCAATGGAAGACCTGTTGTAAGGATGGGGGGAAACAGCAGTCTTTAAACCACGGGGCATTTTTAACTGGACTATGCCACAAGACTTAGATTAGGCATTGTAACGTTCAGCCCTGCCCTCACCTGTCCGTCACAGCTGGGCAGCGGAATAGCAGCCAATGAGGGGACGGAAGGCGGTGCTAAAGGGGGAGGAGCTGGGATATAAAGGGGTGTGTATGGTGTTTGAGAGAGGGAGATTGAGATGAGAGTAAAAAGTGAGTGATGGAGTGTTAGAGTGAGATCTGGAGAGATCTAGTGTGAGAGTGAAAGAGGCCTGTGTGCCTGTGTAGTCAGTGAGGGATAGTCTATGTTTTGATTAAATAAGAAACAGTGATTTACCATCGAGATTAACTTCCTGTGCCAAAGACTGCATTAGTATAGAACCATTGCATTATTTCCCAAGCAAGTACAGTGATGCTCAAGATTTTATCAGAAAGACTTTTATTTTGTTAAAGTAAGAGGAAGAAACACCAGATCTTCAAGCTAGATTTAAAAAAGGAGAGAACACTAGAGATCATATTGCAAATATACATTGAAGCCAAGTTCGTGGGAACAAATAATTCAAAAGAAAATCAGTCTGTGCTTCACAGTAAAGTCTTTCTGTGGGTTATGAAAGGCAATTGATGGGTATGCCACAACATCTGATTATCCTGATGCACATTCTATACCCTAAATGAGAGGCTGCTGTTTGAATGGCATTTGGAGAAACAGAATGTTTTCCAGTTGGCAAAGGTATCAGATAAAGATTATTTTAACTTCTTATCTGTTATATCTAAATATGGAATACATCATATAAAAGGCTGGATTTCATTCAGATGAAAGGCAAAAACTGACTGAAGAAACATCAATAGTTTGAGATATGCAGATGTACTAATACAGCAGCAGAAAGTAGCCATGACTCAAAATAACTAAAGAAGGTTTAAAAAAAAGAAAGTGCAAAAACAAGATTATAGATGAGCCTTAAGATGACAAAATAATGACTACTGGTGACTTATATAACTTTAAGGCTAATAGTTAGAGATGGGGATGAATCGCCATTTTGACAATTCATCCTGCTTCGTGATCTGTCAAAGCTGATGAAGCACAAAGCTCCCCCCCCCCCATGAACCGACAAAGCATGAATTTATTCATTGATTCATGGGGGGGGGGTTTAGACAGCCAGAGGCTGTCTAAAAGAAAACGTGACACCCCCGCCCACCCTTAACGCAAGGGAATCCAGGCTGCCCTTTGCAAAGATGGCAGCTGCAGTTTCCCTACACTAAATGAAGCCACAGACACCATCTTTGCAAAGGGCAGCCAATGTCCCTTACTGCAGGTCATGGCTATGGAGGCCACTGCAGCGGGCGGCGCTGGATCACAGCAGCACTGGATGGTGGAGCATCACTGGAGCGGCTAAGGTAGGGAGAGGAAGGGGGTGGTGGATAGGCTATGGGGGTGGGTGGATGCCTATCAGCCCACCAATCAGCTGATCGGTGGGCCCATAGGCAGAATGAGAAAACCATACATAGTAAGAAAGGGAAGACTAGCCTTCCCTCTCTTCCTATGAGGGACGAATAAAAACGGGGAAATATTTGTCCGTATTCGTTGGGAACTCTGGAACTGATGAATATGAAGGGATGAATATTTAACAAATCAGTGATTTCTCACAAATATCGCAATCTGTTTTTTTTTTAATTCGTTCCCATGTCTACTGATAGTTAAATATTGCCTATTATTTCTATACTTTGGTTTGATTTTCAGTCAAAATGAAGACAACAGGTAAGAAATCAAAAGACTGGAACTTGGAAGGACCACTACTAAGTACTTAAAAAATTCCACTGAAGACCAAGGCAAGGGCAATCCATACTATTTCTGATCACTAAGTACATATATGAAAACAAGACAGTGAAGAAAATTGATGTGGGAGTAATTACTAATCTGAAATGTCATGCCAGAGGAGATCTTTATGGATACCATGTACCATTAGAAAGACAAATAAATGGGCTCGAGATCAAGACGTAGCAATGGCAAAGCTGAGGCTACTGTAGTTTAAACACAACATGAAAAGACAAGGCTCACTGGAAAACCAATCGTGATAGGAAAATCTCAAAGCAGTAGGAAAAATGGAAGTTCTAATTTAGAGTGACTGTAATTTCCTCAAACTTCAAGGATTAAAAGAATGCTGTCTTACCTTGTTGTATATATACTCTGGTAGAGTTGGCTGAGGGCCTGTAGAAGTTGTCCTTCCATTTCTCTGTCATGTAGCTGTTGAGCAAGGTTAACTTGGTGCTCGTGGTAGATAATGCAGGCTTCAGTATGTGGGTATACTTTGCTATAGAAATGGCAGAGGGACTCAGTGACATGAAGCTGACCTACATGGGACAGGATACAGTGTATATAATATAAAACAAAACACAAAACAGATTTCTCAACCCGTGTCCCTTCAAGGCTAGCTACTCACTCATCAAACTGCGTGTCTTCAAGGCAATGGCCAAAGCCAGCTCATAATACAGTTGACTCTCTTTTGTCTTATGCCTGTCCACCTGGGTTTGGGCCAACCATAGCAGAATCTGCACCAGCTCCATCTGTGCATCTTCACCACCCTGGAGTTCAAAATACAGCCGAACAGCCCGAAGGAAATAGTGCTCTGCTAGACAATGTGCCTGGCAAAAGACAGCCAAGCAGCCAAAGTTGGATAAGGCAATGGCTTGGTTCCGCCGGTTGCCTGTTTCCTGGGCTTTATTCAAGGCCCATAAGTAGTTCTCTGCTGCCTTCCGCACCTGCCCTTCTCCTTTCAGAGCAATGGCCAAAAGGTTGTGAACAACCCCATCCTGGGTGACACTGTCTGTCTGTCGCAGAGAATGCAGAAGGCACAACATGATCTCAGATGCTTTCCCTGGCTGGCTGTTCAAAGTGTGCATCCACCCCAAGGAAAGGGAAGACTCAAATGCTTCCTCCTCACCCACTGCTTTGCCAAGGACAACAGCCCTGTTTGAATAATGCACTGCTGCCTCCAGCATTCCATGTTTGAGATACATTTTGGATAAAACTGCACACAGGGCTCTCTCTGTAGACAGAGCTCCACCTTCACGGGAGAAAGCCAAAGCGTGACTCAGATAAAGGCAAGCCAAAGCTGGGATGCTGGCAATGGTAGAGGTGGTAGTTCTCTCTTGAATTTTCATGATCTTAGAAGCATTAGCGAGGACGAAGCCAGCTCTCCAAACGGGAGTCAGCACCCCTTTGACATGGCTGGGGGAAAACAGCCTAGCAGATGCCAAGGCAACATGTGGCAAGTACTTCTTGTCATACAGATAGGTGAGGACAGGCAAGGTATCCAAGGAGGAGGAGGAGGCCCTGGAGTCCTGGCTGGAAATACTGGCACACAGGCACTGCAAGCGTTCTGCGAAAGGTAGGACCTCGTCATACCTGCCCAGCTGCAAGAAGAGCCTGACAACAAGGAAGCAGGTCCTAACTTCCAAAGCAGTGTTGCCCACCGCAATGGCTTCTCTCAGGACATACATAATGACCTCAAGCTCGTTCTCAGAGCTGAAGCAGTGCCCAGGTAGGCAGGCCAGGAGGGCCACCGCTTTCCCAATCACTGATAAGAACTTCTGCTTCATCTTCTGCTTCAGGTAAATGGCAGCAAGGTTTGCGTGCAATGAGGCAAGCAGGGGCAAGTCTTCAAATCCCTTGTCCATTGCGCTCAGGGCTTCCTCAAAATAAACTCGAGCTTGGGAGAACTTGGCTCTTTTGACACAAAGCCGACCCAAGAGATAGCATATCCGGATATGAGCCCAAGCAAGGTGACCTCTCTTGGCCCAGTTCCGGGATGTCTCCAGGTATAAAACCAGCTCCTCCTCAGTGGAGAAGCCATAGAAGGTGGAACTGAGGAAGGAAAAAGAGAGGTCATAGAGGCTTTGGAAATGAGGCACATAACCATCCTGGTTGAGGAATGTCAAGACAGGGTCAAACACATCAGAATCTTCCATGTGGCCAGCATTCAAGTCAATAAAGAACTTGGGGTCATCAAGGTCATCTGGTTCTGGAAGAAGTAAGTGTTCCAAGGTTGAAGGTGAAGACTCAACCACCGGACTGGACTGTTCAGAATCACTGCAAGTTGGCAAGCTATTACTAGACGGCTTCCTCCAACCCTCGAACATCCAACCATCTTTAAGTTCCTCTATGACTGCATCTGAAAGAGACAGATAAGGCACGAGGAGATGCTTCCCCTCAAGGTGATGCATTCCAGGGAAACAGCATCCCATTTCCCTCTTCATCCATACTCACCTGATGGCGTTCGTGGGTACATGGCCACAGGTTCAAAGCCATCTGTAGGACCAAGAGAGATGGGATTTATACAAAAAAACAGCCCATGAGGAATAAGAAGGTCACACCTCAAATCTTGCACGTCTGAGAAATGCTTCTGGTGGCTCAGCTACAAGACATACGACAGGGCAGGAAGACAATTTAAACTTCGGATATGTGTATTAAGAACTGAAGAGAGGGCAGAAAGGATTCAGAATTAGGCAAAGAGCACAGTGGCCTCTAAGTGAAAGGGTGCCATTCTGTGAGGTCTAAATTAGAACAACCAGCTCCCTTTTTGAAAAGATAAATAAAAATAAAACCAAAATGGACATATAATCTGGATTTGCACTTTAATATGAGTAAAACCTTCTGCCTTATTCACATTATTGGACCAAGAGTGAAGTGCCAGTTAAAGTAGCCAGTTAAAGTTTACTCAGCCTTCCATCCTTCTAAGGTTGGTAAACTGAGTACCCAGCTCCCTGGGGGGGGGGGCATGTTGATGTTTGCATAATTCTGTTGTAAACCACCCCTGGGGGCATGTTGCATAATTCTGTTGTAAACCACCCAGAGTGCTCTAGCACTATGGGACAGTATATAAGTTGAAACAATAAAAACAATAACATCAGAAATGGAGTGTGGCGATGTTTGTATGCACCACCACCCCAGATCCTAATATCGCTGTGAGTTTGCAACAGTGGAAGAGGATGTAACCCATGATTTGGGATGGGGGTTATAATACTATTCCAGAACCTGTACTAAAAGGCAGAGTGTGTCCAGAGAGCATGTTACTCACCAAGCCTGTACACTGAGGTTATGTCGGTTTGTGCCCACTCATTGAGGAGGTTACTGTAATGCATCTCATTGCCATTGCACGGAACCTGCAGAAAGGAGGCCATTTCTTCTTCACTGAAAAAGACTGGACTGTCTCTCCTGTGTTGGGGTGTATAATATACAGCATGGTTAGTGTAAGAGGAGGACTCAGGGACAACCTGAGTTCATCCTTGAAACTCACTGGCTGATGGAAGGCATCTCACTATCTCTCACCCTCCTCTATCTCACAGAATGATTATGAAGATAAAAAAGGTGAGGGATAGTATGTTTGCTAAACTGAATTCCTTGGAAGAAGGTATAGGAAGCAGTGGCAAAATAACTTTGATTCTGCATCTACAATGCATGAATGAAACACACCTACAATGAAGATAGTATAATTTACATACTCCTATTTCATTTTAGTTGGTCAACCATCTTTTCAATTCAGACTACGTGGTTTTAATTTATTTGCTCAATTCAAAAAAGGGGGAGATAAAAGCAAGAAAGCTCCCAGTACTCACAGGTAGGTATGTGCTAATTAGTTTGGATACTTCTAGAATATTTATCTATATTTATCTATCTTTTAAAACCATCTATATGGTTTTAAAAGTACATAAAGAACTGATTATGACAAGACTGAGAATTAGTCCTACTTCAGGCACATCATGAGAAGGCAGGATTTCCCAGAAAAGATAATAATGCTGGGAAAGGTGGGAGAGAACAGGAAAAGAGGAAGACCAAATATGAGATGGACTGACTGTCTACTTAAGAACCACAGGCTTGTGTCTAGAAGAGCTGAGTGGGACTGTTAAGGGAAGGACATTTTGGAGATCGGTCATTCATAAGGTCACCATAAATCAGAAGTGACTTGACAGCACGTACAGTGATAACTATTGGCCATGCTTTTAAAAATTGAATCAAGGTCAATGGTAAAGTCAAGCTTTTATTACTGGGTTTTGTTTTGTGGGGTTTTTTTGGTGGTTTTGTGCAAGTTCACTGGATGAGATGTCTTTATCTGGGTGCAAATGAAACTTAGACAGCAAAAAGGATACTAATAGTGTAATTCTGTTCAGAATTCTAGATAAAAGTAAAGGTTCCCCTTGACATTTAGTCCAGTCGTGCCCGACTCTGGGGTACGGGGCTCATCCCCGTCTCCAAGCCGTAGAGCCAGCGTTTGTCCATAGAGAGTTTCCGTGGTCACGTGGTCAGCGCGACTAGACATGGAACACCGTTACCTTCCCACTGTGGTGGTACCTATTTGTCTACTCGCATTTACATGCCTTCGAACTGCTAGGTTGGCAGGAGCTGGGACAAAGCAACGGCAGCTCACTCCCTCACGAGGATTCAATCTTACGACAGCTGGTCTTCTGACCTTGCAGCACAGAGGCTTCTGCGGTTTAACCTGCAGCAGCACCACCTCAGAATTCTACTGAGAAGTAAGTTCCATTGTGTCTAACTATGGGTGCAACTAGACAGGTACTGCCCCACTTTAGTATACTTTGGGGATGGGCTGATTCATGCTTTTCCAGGCAATAACACCCCGTAAGTACCAGCACAAATCAGCTAGTCCTCAACAGTGTTTCCACCTGCATCTTTTAGGCTCCCTATCAGCCGCTACCGTTTTTTAAGGTACAAGTAGGATTTCTATGTTTTGGTTCATCTCCAGCATGTCCAGTTGCTAGGAAAGAATCAAAGTGCACAGCTTAAGCTTACAGTTTCCCCACTTAAGTTGCTTAAGTAGACAGCAGACAGCTTAAGCCACTTAATGATACTGGGAAACTGAAAGCTTTCTTCTCCATGGAGGAGAGAGAGAAGAAGCAAAACTTGTTGTTTTTAAAGCCTAATAGAGCAGCACTGATATGCTATATCTTTTTTGGGGCGGGAATGAAAGGTTGTTTCTGGAAGGAGGAGGCAAAATGGGACAAGGAGGGGGATTTCTCTTTTTCTTTTGTTTCTTTCTTTCTTCCGCCCCCCCCCACACCTTTAAAGGGAGGTGGGCCAAAGAGGGACACTTGAGGTTCAGTATGGTTTCCTGATCTGAAACCACCCAATGCTTGCATGTGGATATAAGGATCACATTAAATGGCATACCACACTCCTATGCAGCCTTAAGTGACTTTATGAAGCCTGATCCAGCCATCTAACCAAGTCCTACATTTATTTCCTATAAGGTGCATTTAGAAACACATCCTTATAGCACAATCGGTAGAAACCCTACTGAGTTCAACTGGTGTTTTTATCCCCACTGATATCAATGTGAGTTACTAGCAAGCAAAAGGATAATGTGACCTCAAATTTTAAAGTTTCAGTCACTTAGGCTATATATTCCTATATTCACTTGCCTGGGAGTGAGTTCCACTAAATTCAACAGGACTTCTGTTTGAATCAGACACGTGACTATTGACCATGGCATTAATTCCAGGAGAAAATGTTTCAGACTACAGTACTGTATTAGTAAATGTTTAGTAGGAGACAACAGTGACACCTTGTGGCTGCCACACTATCATATATATCTCTAAATATAAACATACAAAATCTGTTTGTCAACAGAAGCCATAACAAAAGTAATTTCTCAATGTAAAGTTAAATCTGAGCTGGCTAGAAGTTGAATTTAATTCCTCTGTCTCCTATGTTGGTACCATTTACATGCAATACAAAAGAAAATCATAATTGCTATAATGTGAAAAGATGCCAAACCCTGACAAACAATGGATCAAACCAAATGATACCCATTGCTTAGCACATATTTAGAAGCATGCTCTCTGATGCACTGAAAGATGTCTGTCCTAGCCCATGCTTTTCTCCACCTCTGTATTTTGCATATTTTGCTTTGCACTTGGTGCTCAGGAGAAGGTAAGCATAGGTTTAATTTACATGTCTGACTGCTGAGGCATCTATCTTTCAGGAAATCCCACTGCTGAAATATGCACAAATAGGCAATCCCCTTAATAACTAGTTTGACCCCCCCCCTCCAGAGTTATAAAGAGGAGGTGCTACCTTATTAATGTAAGATGTACCATACTGTGGCTTAAACCCTGCTGGGATTGCAGAACATAGGACATTAGTTATACTTTGAGTGCTATATTTTGTGGCCTGTCTGACAGCAATCTGTCAGCCTCTGATTATGAAATCAATTGAGTACTGGACAGCCTGAGATCATGAAAGCTGCTTTGTGTGACTGCCATTAGTTGCGTTTCTATCTTGGTGTGGGGGCCCTCACCACTCTGGTGCATGCGCTTGTAGTCTTGAGATTAGACTACTGTAATGCACTCTATGTGGGGCTACCTTTGAGATTGATGCGGAAGCTTCAAATGGTGCAGAAGGCGGCGTCCAGACTTCTTACTGGGATGAGAAAACCTCAACATATCTCCCCTACTCTGGCTGCCCTGCATTGGCTGCCAGTTCATTTCCGCATTGATTTCGAAGTACTAATGATGACATATAAAGCCCTAAACAGTTTAGGA